TTGTCCTGTCCAATGTGGACAGCAGAGGGGCACTGTAAACAGGGGCATCTTTGATAGTGGTGGAGGAGCAGGTGAATGAACCCCAGATGTTACAATTCATGAATTCATTTTAGTTGGTCCAGTGATGATGTGGTCTTTGTTCACGATGGGGCACATCTGGCATCTAGGTCCATTGCAAGACCTAGAGCCTTGTTGAGAATAGGAGTTAGATAGTCTGTTGCTGGAGAGATGCCATTTGAGATTCCATTTTATAAAAATAACTTGATAATATATTTACCAAATGTAAATTAATGAAAACTACTTTTAATTGACAGCCTTAACTGAGAATGTCTTAAGTTTATATATATAAAATATTAAACTAAAACCTTCTTTCATAGCTATATCTTTTAAAGGGAACTAATTCAAGTTCACGTTAACTACTCTTTTTGTTTACATATTGTGGTATAATATGATATTACAGTGTGGGTGTGTGTTTATATTATATAATATGTAATTATATTTTATATATACACTCTTATGTATCCGTGTGTATGTATCTGCTGTGGGTGTGGGTGTTGTGGTGCCAGACTGATTTCAATTACTCCTTAAGGCTTAGCTGTTAAACTGACACCACGTAAGTCTCAGATACCCACCTACTAAGGTATTTTGTATATGTCCCATTTCTGTCTAAACAGTAAGTAGACAATACTCTGGTGTTTTCAATGATTTTAGTTATAAGAATGATATCACTCAAACAAAAAAAACCCATACTGGCAGAATATCAAATTTTACGAATTGACTATGGATACATTTAGATTGGAAATTAGAAAGGTATTTCTAATTATCAGAGGAGAGTAATTTTGGAATGAAATGCATATTTCTAATGTTCACTTAAGTTGTCACTAGTCCAATGCCAAACTAACTCCTGGTCCAAAAATCACATCTACTTGCACTTCAGTTGGTTCTTATGGCCAGAAAAATCTGCTGTAGCATGTTGCTTCTGAGGCTTTGTGATTATTATCAACACAAGAGGAAGGCAAGTCAAAGAAATAAAGATAGCAACCTATCACCTTATGTAATAGTGGTTGAATTTGGGTCTCTTCTCAGTTTAATAAAGAAAATGCTTTTAAATATGAACAGTGTATATTTTTATGCTTAATTTTATTTTTAATGTGTATGTATTTCTTGATCATGTTAATAGACCTGATCTGTCAAAGATATTAATAAACTACAGTTACAGAAACTATACATAAGGATATACATGTGTGTGTGTGTGTGTGTGTGTGCGCGCGCGTGCATGCAGAGCTGACCCCAGGGGTGTGTGGGACCTAGGGCATATCAGCCTGTGTGGGGGAGGAAGCAGCCAAAGTGTGAAGCCAGTGGAGTGCGGCAGCCGCGTGAAGTGGTGGCACCCTCAGCATGTGCTAATCTTGTGATCTGTGGGGCCTGGGGTGCTCACCCTGATTTGCTGCTGCCACTCCCTCCCCTCCCCCAGGGATGGCTGTGTGTGTATGGATACACTATGTATTGTGAAAAGGACAATTCTGGATGGAAGGAAGCCTGGTAGTGCATTTAGATTAATCACTTCCATAAGTCATGCTGTCACTTGTGTGTGTTGCCCTAGTAGAGTGATACCTATTGGAAATAAAGATGTCACCTCCTAGTGTCAAAATATTAATAAAGCAGCAGGAAAAGTATGTTGCTGTGGTTGTAGTTTTTTCTTGGACAGTTCTTACCAAGGGCTTGGTGACCACAGAATGTAGTTTCTTTGGCCTAGTGAACTAGAAAGTGCTGAAGAAAAGCTCTACCCTTGCTTCTGGGTAAAGGTGTTTCATGCCCTTGCATTTATAGAGACTTTCTTTGGTGGCGGAATATTACAGAGTGAGTTTGGTAAGGGAAGGGTCTATATCTCTGGTGTAACAGTGAAGCTGCAAGGGAAGTTTAAAGTGTTAAGCATGCATAAGGTAGCACAACTAGATATAAATATTTAGTTAGAAACATGCTGTCTGGAATGCTTTGTTCTGAGTTTGGCTTGCTTACTCCTGAGACTGAGTTAAGACTTCTTCTTAAACATAAGAACATGTACATTCTCTTTTTTCCAAGATGTCATAAAAGTTTGGAAAAGGGCTACTAGATTGGTTCTTCAGTCTTTACTCAGGGAAAACTCCCTTTTAACTTCAGTAAGAAGGACCTGTGTATATTAAGCTCTGTTTGTGCAACAACCTTTTTTTTTTTTAAGGTAACATTGCCAAGATCTCTAAATGAGATTCTATTCTGATATTCACATTTGGTTCCCATTGAAGTTAATATATGCCATTAAATTCCCATACAGTTCTTAATTTAAATCAGCATCTGTCACTGAAGTGAATAGACTTTATATGCATGTATCTTCATCTGAGAGGAGGCTTTGGCTCTGACTCTTGAAGAGCCCTGATTGAGGAAACAATTTAAAATGTTTTATTGTAGTATATCACCACAATGTCAAAAAATGTCCTTATTTGCAAAAATGCTTAAGTAGGTGTTCAAAGTTTAAGCATGTACTTTTGGGGCTGAGTAGAAATGCTTTCCTGAATCAGGGCCAGAGAGGTCCTACTTTCCTCTTCCATTTCCTTTCAGTGATGATTTATATAAGAACATTGATTAGAGAAAATAAATACCTTTTTTTAGGTAAAGATAATGTAGATTAGTGGCAACTAGTTTTACTGAGCAAAGACAGCATGGAGTATGCATCTTGGATGATGTCTTAATACTTGCAAATGACGCTTTTTTTGTATTTTCAGTTAAGTGATAATGCTTGAACTAATTTTAACAACAGCTGGTGATGTATAGTGTTAGACGGTACATACTGCTACTTTGAATTCTAGTTGAAATAAGGGCTTTAATTGTAATGCATTTAAATTAATATGTAAAAATATGTGTAACATTTAAAGTAAATGTATTTAGATGGCATATCAGGAGTAGTTTCACAGACATTAACCTTAGGAAACTAGTCTTTGTTATGTTAGTGTAAATACATGGCCTTAAAAAATTCCCAAGGATGGACACCACCTAGTGGTAAGATGCTGGTATTGCTCATTCACAGCATGTGCAAAAAAATGTTAAAATGAATATGAAGTTTTAAATGAACAAAAAGCAATTTACAGTTATTTAGGAATTATTATACTGGAACATATCACTGAGTACCTCCAGAAGCACATTATGAGAGGTGTTTTCAGGATATTTCCTTATCCTTAGGTATTGAAAGCTGAATTTTCAGCTGCTCTGGTATTTGACAACTTTAGTAATCTTCTAATGTCATTTTGACCAAAACGGTGCCTTCAGTCATACTGATAGCTTTAATAAAGTGTTTCATCGAATTAAGTTAATTTGGATTTATGCTAGTGTTGCAGGGGAATATTGACACTATGCATATACATGTCATATATCAGATGCGTATTAATTTTTGCAGAATATTTTCCAACAGAACAGAAACCAACATTCAGGTGATATCAGGAACCTTGGAGAGGTCAGAATTCCTCCATAACTCTGAATTAAATTCTTATTAGTTACTCCTAACATATATCATACAGATTTATTATTTTCATTGATGAAAACACCGTTTTAAGAAACAAAATGCAATTAACAAGTGAAGCGAGAGATCAAAGATTACACTCCTAGAAAAATAATTATTAATAATATTTAATTTAATGAGAATATTTTTCCATTGTTGCCCTAATATAACTTCTTCTAAATTTATCGGTAATGTGCATTTCTTGTTCTTCATTACTCATGAGATCTCTCACATGGTCAAGTCTGTTTTAAATCTGCCCATTATCAGGAGTCATAATGTCTACCTGTCTAGTTTCTGTCTCATTGTTCACAGTCACTTACGCTTCCTTCTTAAAGCAGTGTTGTTCCTCTCATTTAATAGGGGAAGGTTTACTTAAAACGACGGCATGTTCTTGACTGCTTAAAAGTGGCACGTCTCAGATTCATCTTCATCTCTCCTGGTAGGACTCTCTGTAGCCCATAAAATGCAAATTTCCCAAGTCTAAACGTGTGCCATATCAAAGCGGCCTTTGTTTCAAAAGATAACCCAGTGGTGTTAAGATAGATGTCTATAATAGACTTTCCTAGGGACAGGTCTTAGCAGTATGTATATCCATGAACACGCTTTGTCCTAGTCACTTAGGGTGCCTGGACACGTGGGGAGGCTGCTTTGATGCTATGTAATTACAGCACGTCGGAGCAGACACGATTAATTGAGTCTGCTGAAGCGTGCCAATTAGCTTTCGACAAGCTTTAAAGTCCTCGTGCCGTCATTTTGAAGCGTGGGGACACTGATACACGTGACGCTGCAGGGGTCAGTATAGTCGAGGTCTGGGAACATATCCCTATTTGTTACATTGTACAGTGGGTTCCCTTTATGCGAATTCAAGTTATGCGTCATTTTCCAGGAACACATGTACAGCATAAAGTGAAGGAAACCTGTATTTTAAAGACATTATGATTCCTGATAATGGGCACATTTAAAACAGACTTGAACATGTGAGGGATCTCATGAGTAATGAAGAACAAGAAATGCACATTACTGATAAATTTAGAAGAAGTTATATTAGGGCAACAATGGAAAAATATTCTCATTAAATTAAATATTATTAATAATTATTAGTTTTCTAGGAGTGTAGTCTGTTTGATCTCGTTTCATTTGTTAATTGCATTTTGTTTTTTAAAATGGTGTTTTCATCAATGAAAATAATAAATCTGTAAATTAGAGAGCTGCTCTAATTAAAGTGCCCCCTTCACCCTCAGAGCACATGTAAAAATACCCTTAGAAAACAAAACAAAACAAAAACCAACCAGTTGACCAATGTTTTTCACTGATGTAGCACATTCAGATACGTCAGTAAATGAAACTATACTTTATCTGGTGTCTACAGTTGACCTGGGATCGTCTGCCAGTGTAACTTGTAATATTTATTCATGTTACTTATTTAGCCAACACTGCCTAATATGCAACCTTTTTCATTTTTCATTTATAGATACCTGTTTCATAGTGGCAATCCAGAGCATCCTGGCGATATATTGCTAAATACAACAGTGGAGGTTTTGCCTTTTAAGGTAAGAATGCATTAATTTCTCTCTCTTTCACCTTAATCTGAAAACAAACACATTTTTAATTACATTATAAAATTATGTAAACATGATTGCTACTTTTTTTTAAGCAAGTTACTGTGACTCAGTCATACTTGAATCATGCTGTGACTCCCTTTTCTCGAATGGACCTTATTCACAAAGAAGAGATACTTTACCAAGCTCCCAACTAGCAAGTGTGAATGTGATAAATGAATACGTGACTCTTCTCATCTTGTTCCACTGCTGCGACTTTTTTATTTTAAGATTCAGATTTTAGAGGAAATGGCTTCACTCAAGTTTCTGATTTTCATCTGGTGAGTGTTCCAGCACAAGGATAGATGCCAATACAAATAAGACTTGATATTGAGGTCTACATAGTCTGAAAGATTTTCTTCTCCACCTTGAACCTAAATTTTACCTCATGATGACAGTGCTGTGAATAATCAAGTTTCAGCCTGAAGCGAGACTCTGCAGCTACTCTCTTGTCTACAGAAACTAGTTAGGTTTTTCTGTCACAAGATTTTCCATTGCAACAGCAAAGACATAGCTTCAGACAAGGAGTTACTTCACTTGGGATTAAAATAATAACTTGAAATATGAATGTCTGCCTCATCCCAACTGATACGTATCTGATGCCAATAATTTTGGCTTGAAAAACTGAGCTTTGTGACTGAATCACTATATGCTGAACTTCCAAAGTGATGATAGATGAGGGATCTTGCCAGTATTAATTTATACTCAGTTAATTCCTATCTGTTTTCCTATGTACATCCCACTTCAAGCCCCATAAGGCACTATTCCAGAAAAGGGAATAATCTATCTCTTTTTTCTTTTTTCTTCTAATGTGAATGGCCGAACTTGTCAATGTTTCATACATAATTACAATGGAAATTAAAAAAAACGAGTGAATGGTCAAAAATCAAAAGTTATCTGAGGAGATAAATTATTACACCCTGGAAATAGCTCTCCAGCCAGATTCAAAATAGATACAAATAAGTGTGAAAGAAGTGGCACCTGCATTTACCTCAGCTTTGATTTAAGATCACTAGTTTAACCTCTTTTTCAAGATGTGAAGTATTTCAAGTGGAACAGGTAATGGGTATTGACAGTCAGACTGTATCTGATTCGTCTTTTTCTCCAGATGTTTAACAGATTATTGTTGATCATTCATAAACCAATATATTTTCCTCTTACACCCAGGAATACCATTCCTACAATGGAATTTCCCTTTTCTCTGCTCTTAAGGAGCCAGTGTTGTTGCTATTTGGTTGCAGCTGGTTCCCCCTTCAGGAAAATGTTATTTCATTCTAGCAGATATTTAATTTTAAAGCATGATGGGACCTGAGGTATTTTATCTCAGATTGTAAAAATTGTGTGTCGTGCCATGCCTGATGCTCAGGATCTGTCAGCAGGGTGTGTTATTTTGGGGATCTGAAATACAGTTCCTCTGGTCCCACTGCATACCCAGACCTTTAAAGCCCATGCCATACAGACCAGTGCTAGGCTGCATGGCACAACTGTAAAGGTCCCCATGCACTAGCAAGCTGCATTGTGGAGCCTGACACTAACAGCTTGGTGCATCTTTAAGATATCAAATGTTCAAGGTAGTGTGATGTAAACCTGCCACAAAGTTGTTCCACGTTTAAATGTGGATGGTTTGACAGTTTTATTGTGTGATAAAGCAGTTACACATTTGCCAGATTATAGTTTATCGTGTAATTGACAGGTTTGCCATCTTTATTGTTGATAAAGTAGTTGAATATGTGTTGGATTGTAATTTATCATGTAATTGACATGTCAGTCACAGGATAAACATAACAGCTGCCAGGGACTTCTGTCTCCTGATGATAAAATCAGGAAGTTTCCATATTTCCTGCTTCTGAAAATACAGAGCATAGGAAAAAAAAGACTATTTAAAATTGCCATTTTGGTACTGAATATCATACTCCATCATTGTTTCATGATAAGGCTTGGAGGTTTTGTTTCACTGGGCTTTGGATTAGTCTGTTCAATAACATGTAGCGGCCATCCCTCCTCCATGCCCATGCCTCCCCTCCCAAACTCTAGTTATGGAGGGGAAGACCCAAGAAGCAGTCCTCAACAATTGAATGCGTTTTAGGATGATCTGTCCTCTGGCTTTGCCCAGCTGTGGGACTTCTGCCTCTGTACTCATGAGCAGTCTTCGCTCTTTGATCTGGTTCCAAGCTTGCCACCCATGGAAGCAGCTCTCAAGTTAATAAAACTTCCAGCTTCCCCAGGTATCAGTGTAAAGATGCGGACCTCAGGAAGACATACAAGCTTCAGCTCTGCATTAAGCACATCTCCAACCTAGTGACATCAGCAACAAACAGGAGTGAGATAGCAGCAGGTTCAATTCTGATTAGGACTCCTATACACCAGCCAGCATTAGGACTGATTCCAAATTCAGTGGCTGATGTAGGGCAGAACCAACCAGTTGAATTTAACAAACATCCTTCAAGATTCAGAATACCTGCAGGAAGGATGGGTTCTTGGGTTTAGTGCAGTATACTCCAAAAAATACTTCCTCAGCAGTCTGTTTAGGAATAGAAAGAACAAACATTGTTAGGTTTCCTTTCCCCCATAAGTCAAACATTTATTTTTATTATTATTATTATTGTTGTTGTTGTTGTTAATCCCCAGAAAATCTCTAGAATGTAGCACTTTCAGACTGGGCTCATCTGTTTCTGTATGTAATTACCAGATTATTGTTCAGACTTCTTTCTTCAGTTTCATTTGTCTGTGTCTATTAAAGTGAGATCATTGGTGTTCGTCACTGCTGCATAGATGGCATCCATAGTGGGGCCATGAAGAATGACAGTACTTGCATTTTCCACATAAAATGGTTTTTCAGCTTAGCCAAAATGTACACCAAAAGCTAAGTAGGAATTTCACAGAATCCAGGTGAGTGCTTTGCAAAAGCCTAAGCATCCAACATATAAACTCCAGCATAAATTAGATAAAATTAGATGACTATCAAGTATTAAGATCTACCTGGCAAAAATGAAAATGTATAGAAAAAGTCTTCCAGTCTGATTTCTTTGTATCGGCCAGCAGCAAGAGTAATAAAGCATCCAAAACTGTATTTAATAAATGGCTCAGATCTTGCATTGAAGAAGCTTACGAAGTAGAGGCTCAACACCAACAGAAAAGTTAGTGTTTTACACCTAAATACTTTTTACTCTCTGAGTTGAGAAATTGCTTATCCTATTGAGAGATGTGCTAGGAATTAACTTAGTTAGCGAGTTAAGCATTAATGTTTCACTAGGGCTACTTATACATGTGCTCGGAGTTGGGAGGAGACTGTTTTAATTGGAGGGGTTTCCAGAGAGCCACTCTAATTAAAATGGCTCACTGTCACATGCATTAAGCCTCCCCACCTCTTTTCAAAATGGCCATGGGACACTTTAAAACTCATTCAACAAGCTTTAGTTAAAGCACCCCTGTGGCCATTTTGAAACACAGTGGGGATTAATACATGTGACGCTGAGGCAATGCTAGAGCGTTCTAATTAGAATATGAATGAGCACGTCTATAGGCAGCCCAGAAGTGTAGCACAGGCCCTGGCCATATGTTCCTGGCCATAGCCAGTACCCTTCCTCCAGTACTCTAATAAGGTCTTAAAGTAGAAACGCTTCAGTTTGCAGAGCATCGCATTTGTGACTTGCAAAAGGGTGGGGCTTGCCATTTATAAATGGTAAGAGATACCAAGCAATTGCTGTCTCACTGTTCTGACTCATCTCTCAGCTGGAAATGAGGAAATGTTGTAGGGTGACAGATGTTCTACTTATCTCTGCATACAGGTTTATTCTATGAAACTTGATTGTTGTTCCAACATTAAAAAATGAGCTGTTTCAGCCTTGGATATAGTTTGTAGGCAGATATGCAATCCCACTGCAGTAATGATGAATAATGGTCTGCCCCAACTGTCTCAAACAATAAGAAAACTATTGTAGGCCTGTGATTTCTGATAGTCTTGTGGACTCAAAGACAAATCAGCAGGTATACAATTTTTTAAAATATATATACTACAGGTAGATTATCTAGCATTTGGTCATTCTAGGAGAAAAGTCCTGCCAGCCACTTGCTGAAATGCGAGTGGGAAAGAGGCTTCCAAGTCTTTCTCTCCATGGTTGAGCTATGGTACAGAACTCAGGATTTACTACAGCGCGACTTTTATGCTATGTGCACCAGCATCTGCAATATCTTTATTTCAGCCTTTGAGTAACTGTTATGAGAGGGTCTTTTGCCAAGTATGTCTTGTTTCCCATTTTGAAGCCAAAAATAGTTCAGCTCCAGAGCAATTGTACCTTTGTTTCTTCGTTTTCTTTTTAAAAACTATTAATAGCTTCTCTTTGCTCATGGAAATAGGCCAATCCAAAGTTTTTAGGGAAGACGTATTTTGAATATTGAACAAGGGCATCCATATTTTGTTCTAGCTTGCAGAGTACTAAGTACGTGGAAAATAAATGAGCTCATTTTATATTTTTTGTCTTTTATTTTAGAATGAAGACTTTGTAGTAACCAAAGAAACCAAAGACAAACGCTTAGAGGACGGCTATTTTAGGATAGGTAAAACTCAATACTATACAACAGCAGTGTTCATTCGTCTACATACATAGAAACAGAGTTGTTTTATTACTGCAATATTTTAGGAAGATGCTATTTAAAAAAAAAAGTCTTTGTATGATCCTGATAACTTGTTTTGGATACATGATCATGTAGGCTCTATTTTTTACCATTTGTTTAGTACATCCATTTTAGTTTGTTCTTGGTTATAGTGAAATCGGCACTGATAATTGTTTATTAAAGAATTATAGTTAAAATGTATTCATTTGAGCTTTGGCTTCCACTAGCCTTTGTGACATTGTACTTACGTATCCTAATATAATTGAAGCTCCCCGAGGTGGGAACAACAACTCAATCATTTTAATGCAGCCTGAATACATTACGCTAAGGTTTTCAAACTTGGATGCATAAAATTAGACAGCCAAGTCTAAATAAGATGAATAAAAGTGGCCCAGTTTTTGGAAATGTAAAATACCTATGGCTATATTAAAAATATTTACTCTTTATTAGTGCCAATTATGCCCAGTGCATGTGCTGAGGCTTTGTCCTGATGTGTTAGTCAAAGCAAAGTTGAAGATGAGGACTAGAAGCACACTGTGGAAATCTCATGCTTTGGGTTGTCGGAGATCAGAGCAGCGCCGGCAGCTGCTTTCTGACCCCCCCCACCGGAGCAGTAAAACTTTCACCTGACAGGCGGGTAGTGATGGATGGGGTGAAATTAACCAGGCACAGACGCGTGTTGGTTACAGGAGATTGTTTACTTACGTCGCCCAGATAGTGACGTGCGACGCAGGCTGAGCCTTTGTTCCTGTTACAGTTGCATCGATTACAGTCAAACGTACGGGTTACAGCCAAGCAATGACGGACGTGGCGCCGAAAACGTGCTATCGTGCCTGCAGGGCTTTGATACGTCAAGATTTACGATGACGGGGAGTATTGACAGCTGATCAGACCGTCAATCTACTCTGGTGATGGACTCAGGTCTCTCCTCAGAGGTTTCTCCGGGGTTCTCCGACTGGGCGGAAGTTGCTAAACTATTTATAGACAGAGGTGTCTGACGGAGATACCCAATGATGAACCGTTATGTGGAATCTTTAATTTTCTGGCAAGCAGCAGTTCTTTGTGCTCTCAGGTTGCTATCAGGTTACAAGGTAGTGGGTTAGGTTTTCTGCCTGTTACGTATGAGGTTATGATGAGGGGCTTACGCTTGTTTCTTGACCAATTGCAGGGATTTATGGCAGGGCTATCCCCTTTCACCCTGACCAGTCTTAAGTTTCATTTCTTGTTTGTGACGTGGGCATAAATTATATACAGCTCTCCGCCAGGATTTTGTTTCAGGAGTTTTTGGCAAAGATTTCTTTTAACCCTTAGCTGACTACTTGAATGGTATCTCTTGCTAGTGGCATGGGCACTGATTAACTGGGTTGTGACACCTTTGAGGATTAGAACTGAGAGATTGGAGAGAGAATGGTTTTCTGTGAGAATTGTGTCCCCACAGGTAATTAGGTATTCTTGTCTTTGATAGATTTCTGGTGTCCATTCATTCTGGAATGCAGTTGTTTGGCCTCTCCTGCATATCTTCCATCAGGGCATTTAGTGCATTGGATGAGATATATTACATTACTGGAGATGCAGGTTTAAGATCCAGGAATGAGGATGGTTCTGTTGTGGGGTGTAGTAATTGTGGTAGTGGTGGAGATACATTGGCAGGTTTTTCATTTCTTGTCCTGGTATTTTCTGGATCCATTCGGTGTGCTTTGGGCCATAGGAAGTTTGCTTCTGGTGACGAGGTTCAGTCCTTGTTTAAAGGCTAGGATGGGTGGTTCTGGAAAGATTTCTTTAAGAATAGGGTCTTCTTCTATTATGGGTTGCAGTTGTTTGAGGATTTTCCGTGTAGATTCCACGGATGGATGGTATGTCATAACTAATGGTGCGCTATTTGTGGGGATTTTCTTTTTTGTACTATAGCAATTCTTCATGTGGTATCCAGGTGGCTCTTTCAAAAGTGTGATCTATCTCTCTGGAGGAGTGTACTGGTTGGATGAAAGGCCCTTTTGAGATTTGCATGGTGACGATTGTGGGTAGTCTCCTCAGTGCAAATTTGGTGGTTTCAGAGGGCTTGCCTGTGTATTGCAGCTTGCTTGGTGTGTTTAGGTGATTGCTGGTTTTGTGTAGATATGTATGTTGGTCCGTGGGTTTCTTGTATATGGTGGTTTCTTTCCTGCCTATGCAGGGGGTCAGACTCGATGATCTATTGAGGTCCCTTCCGACCCTAACATCTATGAATCTATGAAAGTTCCCACCTCCTTGTATCAGTTCTAAGATACGATTACGATCGTGATGTTGTGAATACATTTAACAAATGCATTGACTAGAAACCTTCCTATTAACCAGATCCTGTGTGTCACTTGGTGCATTGCATGTTCATTCAGATATGCTTTTGTTCATTTTGAAGGTAAATTTGAAAGCGGCATAGCAGAAGGTACAGTTGACCCAAGTCTAAACCCAATTTCAGCATTCCGACTTTCAGTAATCCAAAACTCAGCAGTTTGGGCAATTCTGAATGAGGTGAGATGTTGCATGCTATAGTCCTTGCAAAATCAGAATACTAAATGTGAACTTAGTTTTTTCAACAAATTTGAAAGGAATTCTGGCTTAAGGTTTGTTGTAGAGTCTTAAAATTTACAGATGTTTTCCTTGAAATGTGATTTTTTTTTTCTTCATTTTTGTATTTCAGATCCATATTAAAAAGGTCACAAACTGATCAACATCTCTTTGGAGATTGCAGACTTTTCCTAATAAATCCTACATCCTTAACAAGTCACAGATTGAAAGTACTAAGCATGCACCTTATTCAAGTCTTTCTGATTTCTCACTCAAACTCTACCTCTTGTGAAATCTACTGTAGATGAGAAGATTGTAATTAACCCTTCTTGTCAGATCCATCCAGAAACTGATGTTCCATACTGTTAATATTCATAAAGTCTAAATTGTCCTCCATTTCAACGTGACTTTACCATCTTATGGTTGCAGAAGTCTGCTACTCCTAGCCTGTGCTATTTTGATGGTATAGTAACACAGAGAAGTTGTACATATTGTTACATTCCTTGAAGATGAAAAACTATAATTATTGTTAAATGCATTTTGTGAAGGGGGTACTTTTGGAGTTCCATTTATTTTGCTATAACAACACCCTCTTTTATAGACTATCAGGGAGATATATATATATATATATATATATATATATATATAAATGTTAGGGATATTTAATTTATTAAAATAATTTGAAAAGTACATATTTTTATGCAGTAAAATTTTAAATTGATATGGATTTTTTTTATGGATTATCTAGCTGCTTAAGTTATCGTTCTATATTTTGCTTTGGAGATGCAAACATAACAAACTAATGCCATATTTCAAATACACTGCCATGGTTAAGAAAATTACATTAAGTAGTTTTGTACACAGAATCTGAAAAATATTGTTCAAAGGCCCGAACAGAGTTTTGAAGAACATTTCTCTTGATGGCTGCTGTGTTTGACTGTGCATCCACATAAAAGCATGTTGAAGTATCCCAATATTTCATATTATGTACTAAATCTGCAGTGATTTTTAGAATTAATTCATAACATTCTAGAAGGCAATTTTAATGTCAAGCTGTCCTTTAAAAAAAACAACTTTGTACAGCTCTTAGAATGAATAAGTGCATTCCCCAGCTTTGCATTACAATTACATTACCTTTTTAGCAGGAAAAAAATTGAAATTAGACATTAACCGCACAGTTCCCTCCTAAAAATGCTTTTAGTGCAGTGTTGACTTCAGCTAGCTGTTACGTTGATTATAATTTTTGTTTCTCTCGCAGAGGGGTCCAATGTAATGTCTTTCATTGACTTCAATGGAAATTGAATCTAGCCCTAAATCAGTAGCCTACTTGTTTGCACTTTGAGGTAAAGAACAGTGATTACCTGGCCAGTAACCCAGGCAGACAGCTGAAGCAGTTGTTACTACATCTACAAGAGAACTAAGAAGTTCTAGGGCTTGCATGTGCAAGCTTAACTAATAGAAGACCTGCTGCCTACTGGCATTCACAACCGTAAAGTAGGCCCCAGTGGTATGTCAGCGCTGCGGAGGCAGCATGTCCTGGCTGGAACTTCCCAGACATGATCTGTAAATCCACTCCTGTTTATCTTTTGCATGGTCACTATTGAGACCTCAGTCTCCACTGTGCATGACAGCAGCTTCCAGAGATGATCCTGGACTGGCCTCACCAATGTATTTCTGAGTTTGGAGTGCATGGGCAGGTACAAGAACGGGTGGGGAGGACATGCTCAGGAACGTCCAAGCCAGGACAGACTGTCGCTGCAATATGGACTTGAACTCTTATTTCCCTATTGAAAGGAGCATTGGGTACCTAAGGACAGGATTCACAGAAGCCAGCAAATGGTGCTAAACCAACTACATTGGTAGTATGAAATGCTGAAGTGAGGAGTGGGGCATGAGCTCCATCCTCAGTGGGAATTAGATACCTCACTTCAGTCACAGGAAGGTGATTAGTTCTGCTCAGGATTGTGAACTGCCTCTTGCAGTTAGTGCCTGAACCAAAAGGAGCATTTTGTTTTTGGGAGGAATGGGAAGTGAAAGAGACCTCAGTAAGCCAATAGTCCAGTGAGCAGGACAGGACACCTGTTTTCAAGTTTCCAGTGTGCTTGATCTGGAACTGAAATTTTATTCCAGGACCCCATGCTCCAAGGGCAGTGCCAAACTACTGGATTAGGGTTGTTTTTTTTAAAATCTCTTCTCTTCTCTTTGAGTCTGAATTAAGCATACACTGGAGCAGGGGCTTGAACCCGACTCCCACATTGCAGATGAGTGCCTTAAGCACCAGGCTGTTGTATAAGTCTCGTTTTTCCCTCTCTCTGCCCTTGTTTGCGAATCCTGTTGGGGCTTAAAACATTAAGAAGCGAAACAATTTCAGGAGTTAAGTAGTTTTATGTGTACCCATTGGCAGACTCTTTGGTACCTAGAGATTTTGGGCATGTCCAGGATTAGGCAAGAGCTGAACATGAGTTTTGAAGAGCTCATTTATGCCTAAAGGTCAAGCAAAGCACTTCTGGTGGTCATTGGGCATCTCCGTTTGCTTGTGGATCTAGCCCTTTGTGCTGCTCTAGGACAGTTAACATACAATACTATTGAACAGGGTTGGTGAATCTAAATCTAAGCAAAGATCTAAGAATCTATTTGGGTTTATTTTCCCAATTGTGTCTGCAAAAATGCAGGCACTTTAATATATAGCTATTTATTAACTTTCATATTACAACTTTTAGTCAGATGTTTCTATTTGTGAACATGTGATGCACTTTTTTTTTTTGCCAAAAATGATTGTTTTATTGTTCCATATTGTAAAAATGATTTATTATCAAGTATTTTGGTACCACTGTTAGGTACCTTTCTGAGAGTGCTCTTTTATAATAGCTTATTCATCGTCTAGCTGGTCCTAATGTTAAACATGTAAGATAAATTCCTAATGATATTTCTAAATGTAAAGAAGTGTACCCAAAACTGATCATGGTACTTTTGTGTTGTCAGTATTGTTTTGCTAGCTTTACTCTATTTTTTCTAACACACAATAGCATTTATCTGAAAACTGACAATTACTTTCAAATTATGCTGGGTTTTTTTTAAGATTAATGCATATTATTTTGTTGCTTCTTACTAGCAGAAGCCAGAAACACCCCAGGCTGCTATCATATTAAAAAAATTCTTGAGGTTACGCTTTTGCTAAACAAATGTGCCCCAGCAGCACAAATTAATTCTTGTATCCCTTTCTGGGAGGATAGGTTTTATAGAATCAAAGTCTATTTCAAACCTGACGTAGTTAGGCACAATTCGCTTGACATCCTCAGGATATATTATTTCGGTCAGTAGAGGGTGTGGATGGAGAAAGGTTAGACTTATGTGTAAAGAAAATAAATCCTCTTCAGACCATTATTTTAGGCTGCGGACAGATGTTATGTGTAGTGCTACAAATCCCTTTGTAGTGCTACAGAAGTTGAGAGGACTAATGTGCACATCCTCTGCAATGCCACAAAAATGGTAAAAGCGCCAAGAACATGTTCTTGGATGAAAGAGGAACTTGCCAGTAGCACTACACATAATGTTTGTACAGTGCACTGTAGCACCACAGAGGGGTCTCTTGGTTCCCCAGCATCCCATAGTGC